CGGCATAACAGGTCCTTAGTAGTAGTAGTAGTCGTCGTCGTCGTCGTCGTCGTCGTCGTCGAAGTCGTCGTCGTGATGGTGGTGGTAGTAGTAGTAGTAGTAGTAGTAGTAGTAGTAGACGTAGTAGTAGACGTAGTAGTAGACGTAGTAGTCGTCGTAGTCGTCGTCGTCGTCGTCGTAGTATTACATAGTTGCTGCTCAATGTAGCATTGGCAGCCGCAGTAGAAGGTAAGAGTGGGAGTAGTAGCCTTGTACCGCCGGTGAAGCACAGAAAGAAATCGCCACTCTTAGTGATTACGGAGAGAACAGACAAAGCCGTGCAGGCAGCACGCTAAGCCCTAACCCGAAACTTCAACCCCAAACCCGCGCAGTCAGCAAGAGAACCGGGTGCCGGGGAACCTTGGGAATTCTTGGCAGTCCCTCTATGGCGACGAGGAGACGTCCCAAAAGACAGGCGGCCGTGGATGGATTAAACTCTCAACCCTAGCCCTAAACCAAAAACAGAGGTTTTTTGGGATCTTGGGTGTTTCATCCGAAGTAGAGGTTCCAAAACCCCGGACGCATCGCGCTAAAGCCCAAACCCAAGCTCCAGAACCTTCGAGATACAAGGATCGGCGGTTGGACTCATGCCAGGAGTCAGGATTTCAGCCGTTGCATTTGGGTTATAGATTAGCCAGCCCAGGCCAAAGAGATCCGTAGTTTACTCACGCGGTTTAAGGGTTTGGGCTTAGGGGTTAGGGTATGGTGTCAGGCCTCTTGCGGTTTGGGATGAGGCACCCATGAGAAGTCCAGAAGGACGAGGGAGATCCTCGCTGAAGCCCAGGCTCTAGAACCCTCGAGTCGCTGTAAAGATCCTGCTCAGAAGGTGTAGGGTTGAGGGTCTAAAACCCCTAAAACCCTAAAACCCTTGGGGTTTAGGGTTTAGGGTTTAGGGTTTAGTGTTCAGGGTTCAGGGTTTAAGGGTTTTGTTTTGCCTCCTTCTGTGGTGCACGGCAGGAAGCAACTAGATATGTCGAAGCGTGCGGAGACACCAACTAATTATGTGCTGACTAAGCTCTCCAGAGTTGGAACTGTTGGTTTGTGTGTGTGTTTAGAGGTTTGAGGGTTGAATCGTTCATCGGTAAAAGCAACTAACCAATCCACTTGTGATGTGTCTAGCTACAGGTTAGTTGAAATCAGTTAAAGGTAATCAGCGTCTTTGTTTGGGTTATATACGTAATGTCACAGGCCTTGGCTGAGACAGCTACCATACGTGGGTAGCTCCGTAAAGTCGAGTAGGTTTGAGTATTACAAATTCGTGTTCTCGCTCTGTGGTGACCCAACAAAGACCCAATTCAGAGGGCCACCATCTGTAGAGTGCCCCCAAACCCTAATTAAACGTGAACCCCAAAGTTTTAAACCCCTCCCTAAGCCCTGAACCCTACACCCGGAACCCGGTATGCCGCTCAGTCCGAGATTGCGCGTGTCGTTCCATTTGGCTGAGGACAAGAGCCCGCAAAGCAAGAGATAGCTGCTTTAAGCCCCAAGCCCTAAACCCCTCTTGATTATTCCTGAGTTGTAAACGGGTCTGCGTTTGGGAGTTCAGGGTTAGGGTTTAGGGGGTTTGGATGGATTTGGGAACTCTGAATGAGATCTGAGGTGGATCCGATCGCTGTGTCAGCTGCTGCCAGGGCAGCCGGAGCTTTCTGTGAGGCTGTCGTCGAAGGGTAGGGTTTAGGGTTCAGGATTGAGGGGCCAGGCTTTAGGATTAACAGTTGTTTCATAGCATCCGTATGTACTTGTGCTAAAGTATACCCGGAAACCCCATTGTAGCAATCATCAGACTCCGACCCTAAACCCTAAACCCTAAACCCTAAACCCTAAACCCTAAACCCTAAACCCTAAACCCTGGGCTCTACAGTCTAGGGCTTTGGCCGTGCAAGGTTTGGGGATTACCGGGCTCAGAGCTCGGGGCTTCGACTGTTTCAGGGTTTGGGTTTTAGGGTTTTAGGGTTTAGGGTTTTAGGGTTTAGGGTTTAGGGTTTAGGGTTTTAGGGTTTTAGGGTTTAGGGTTCAGGGTTTAGTCGGATTTGGGTTGCGGAGGGGTGAAACCTAAGCTTCCAAAGCCTGAAGCCATCGAAGGCCAAAGTTGTGAAGCCATCAGCAGCCTCAGTCTCTGAAGCGCCTTAACCTCTAAACAGTTACACCCTGAACCCAACAGACCCCAAACCGTAAACCCCTTAAGGAAACCCTAAACCCCTTCGATCCCGAACGCTAAACCCTTAAGCCCTATTGTATGGATCCTGCGAAAGGCCATAAGATTTAGGGTTCTCAAGTCACACTCCTACACCCTAGTAGATGCGCTGCACTTCAGCATTCACCTGATGTTTATGAGTACATTCAAGCTTCTAGTGGTTCCTCAGCTTTAGATCGGGGTTCCTAAGCTCTAGCTACCCGGCGCATACCCTAAACCCTAAACCCTAAACCCTAAACCCCTGAATCCTAAACCCTAAACCCTAAAATTGAGGAACCGGGCTCGGGTCTGAGATCTGTTTGGCTAGGCAGGCGCCGAGCGACAGGCAGAATCCTGTTGGAAGACGGTTTAGGGTTTAGGGTTTAGGGTTTAGGGTTTAGGGTGAGCATCGGGGGGTGTCTGTCCGATGAAACCCGCCTTCTAAACGCAACTCAAGATCCACCGCCGTTTAAAAAAAGGGCGCACGAACCTGACCCTAGCCAGCACCCTTAGTTAGAGCCTAAACTCACCTAAACACCCCTCGAGCGCCTGATCCTAAACCCTAAACCCTCAACCATAAACCCGAAGCCCTAAACCCTAAACCCTGGACCCTCAGCCATGTTGTTCCGCTGTTGTCTCACTGTCTGCGGTCTTTGCGCAGCCTTTGCCCTCAATGCACCGGTGCCTTGGGTATGCACTTGAGGTTCAGGGTCGGGTTTCAGCGCTTGCAGGCTGGCTTCAATTAAAACTTCAGTGGTTCGTTTTTTTTTTCAGGTTTAGGGCTTGAGGCTTTAGGGTTCAAGGGTGTAGGCTTTAGAGCTTCGGGTAGCATAGACAACTAGTGTGTGTACTTGTCTTCAATCGTTTCTCATGGTCACATCTGAATGCACGCCACACCACGCTTCCGAATATTGATGGGGCCGTGCATGCAGCTTTTAGGGCTTAGGGTTCAGTGTAGACGGTATCCAGAGTTTACGCTTCATCGCAGCAGCCAGGTTTCAGAGGTCAGCGTTGCGAGATGTTGCTCGAAGTATCTTCGCATTGATGGGGTAAGTCGCAAAGTCGGCTTTCAAGCTCGATAATATAATATAGGGGCCTTGATAGTTTCCTATATTATTTGGGTGGTTCCTTGTTTAAATTTCTGTATTATATACCCCAAAATTCCCCGTACAGCTCTTTAAATCCGTCGGATTCAGTGACTTTGCAGAGCACTGGGATTCGAGTCTTATGCCGGGGAGCCGCGCCTGGAGTTTTTCCCTGCCTCTGTGTGGTAATGCTCTGGCATTCTTACCCCTAACCCCCAGGTACCTACTACATAGGGCCCTAGGGGCTCTAGTACCCTAAACCCTAAACCCTAAACCCTAAACCCTAAACCCTAAACCCTACCTGGGGGGTT